AAGCCAAGTTCCTGACCTTCAGCATGCTGGTGTTCTGCAGTGTCTGGCTCACCTTCCTCCCTGTGCACCACAGCACCAAGGGCAAGGTCATGGTGGCCGTGGAGGTCTTCTCCATCCTGGCCTCCAGCGCAGGGCTCCTGGGCTGCATCTTTGTCCCCAAGTGCTATGTTGTTTTATTAAGGCCACATAGGAGCTCTCTACGTGAGTCCAGAGAGAAAATTCGTTGTGGGAGTAACAAGCCTTTTTGAGTATTAACTCACATTTGCTAACGTTAACAAGTGGCCTTGAGAAAATTCTACTCAAATCTAAGAGTCTGATTTCAAGTTACAATGTGGGATTTCCTTCAAAGTCAAGAGACTCTCTCCTAATGCTACAGTCACTATGAAACACAGCCGTCAACTTTTCAATTTTTAATCTAACAGCATTTTTTTTATTTCCTCCAATTAATTCTTCTCTTACTGCTTAATCATGTGTAGTATTCACCTGGGTGTAGTATTCACCTTTACGTGTCTCCCACTTGGATTTTTTAATATATTGTCTTGATTTGCATCATTGATATCCACAAAAATCCCTTTTCTTCATCTAGCCATAATTACCCAATGATTCAAGAGCATTTATAAAGCCTTCTTTCAGTCTTTCGGTAATTTGAACTGTTTCTTTTTAATACTCCAAATTCCTATATGAATATCACCATGTTTTGGGACCCCTTGATATGTTACATTAATTTAACCCAGGTTTTGTTCATAGAGAAACCACACTTTTGTTAATCAAACTAAATTTGGCCCTAGGGGACCTCCATACAGAGTCCTTAAGATGATGAACGGCAACCTAGCTTAGTAGTCAGCCTAAGGTAGAGTATACTGCTTTGTAGATTTGGCCGAGCTGCAGCCAATCACAGCAGCCAAGCCCCTGGGCGGTCACTATTCAAACTTCACTGAAAAAAGGCAAATGCATATACTGATATATCTGATTGTTTTGTACAGAAATTTATGATATGGAAAGATTTGCTTTGATAGATGTCTAAATTTACACTGCATTTACCTTGCGTCTACTCTGCCCCTAGAAGCCCACCTTCCTTCACCTTTTGTTAATTGGTGRGTGAGCCTCCATGCCAAGCACTTACTGGAGTTAGACCTTAGGTCTGTCTTCCAGCCATTCCTCCAGGATTTCTTACCCTGTTACCTCTTACCCCATATCTAACCATTTCCTCATGCTTTCATAGCTTTCTGTGACACCCCCATGTTGCAAAAACATAAAGGCCCTTACAAAGTGTGCCTTTTCTCCTGTTCATCCGTCATTCTTAGTTGATTTCTCAGGCCACAGCCTACGATACGGGATGGAGGGAAACTTGTTTTCTCCTCTAAATACAAGTGTGAACATGGTAGCCCAGGGTCTGTCTGTGAGAAACCTGTAGACATACAACAATTTGATTTCAGGAAAACATAGCGTGCAGTATTAGAAGTTTCCTTCTGTTCTCTCCAAGGTGGTTTTTGCAGCTAAGGGGGAAGAGTCTCCCTGTGGTGGGAGAATCACACCAGAGACTTAATGATGAGGTTAGAAATTGGGTCCTAGGAGCAGGAAGGGCCAGGGCGAAGAGGTAGAAAGAAGAGCATCAGGGCTGGGATACGGCTCAGTTGGTAGATGGCTTGCCTCATATGCACAAGGCCTGGGGTTCAATCCCCAGCACCACAAAAAAAGAAAGAAAAGAAAAGAAAAGCATCACCAGCAGGAGAACATCCTAAGCAAAGGCCCTGAGGCTGGGCTCAGCTTTGAAGTGTGTGTGAGGGGGTCAGAGGGCTGGAACCTACAGAGGGGAGAGAGGATATGAGAAGAGGTAAGTGGGGCACAGGTTTACCGATCACCGTGAATTTTATTCTAAAAGCAAAGGAAGTCATCGGCAAATTGTCAACAGAGAGGGTGGAAGTGGTTCTCAAAAATGGCCTCACTCACTGTATTTGAGTTTTAATGGACTTGGGCAAAAAAAAAAAAAAAATGTGTGTGACATAAAATCTCTCTTGAATGAAACCTGATGGCTTTTAGTTTAAAGATTACTAAAACAGGCAACACTGAAGGTTAATTTCAGTAGCATGGCAAATACTATAGATGGGTGGACATCAGTTGCTCTGGTTGGGGTGCGGTTCTTATCCCAAGGGTTCGTGTCTTGGAGGCGTGGTTCTCAGTGTGGCAGTGTGGAGATGGTGGGACCTCAGGAGGTGGGACCCAGTGGGAGTTTATCCCTGGCCCTCCCCTCACTCTGGCCTCCTGTCCTACCATGGTCTCTGTCTCTCCCATGCATTCCCACCACTGTGATGGCATCTACCATGAGATGATGTAGCCAAGGGGACCTAGCCAGAGCCAGTGCAATGCTGGTTGGACTGTCACACTCCAGAACTGTTAGGTAAATAAAACTCTTTTCTTTATAAGTACCCAGTTTCAGGTATTTCATTATAGTAACAGAAAACTGACTAAAACATCAGTGTATATATACCCAAAGAATGAGTATAACTAGCTGGATATGCTCAGTAAACGTTCAAAGAATAAGAAACTAGAGAGGCAATAACAGCAGAACTGAGTCAAGTCCTCGGAGACATGGTACATGGGAGCAAGTATATTTTAAAAACAAGGGAGGATGGAAAGCACTTGATTTCAGCAGGAGGCTACAAAAACTGAGCAATCCAGAGTCAGTCTTGTAAAATTATGAAGATAGAAATGACAGGGGCACAGTGGTAGAATGCTTCTGAGTGATGATCTTTACCTGGTTTGGTCAAGTTGCTGACATAAACACTCTTACCTGTCTTTTGCAAGGTGATACCTGTGTTTTCAACTCTTTAGGTTGTCAAGAGAAGGGTACTTGTTTGAAATTTTACCAAAGAACTCTTTTCTTGGATTTTTGATGAAAATAATAGCTGTAGAAAAATGAGTCTGGCTTTAAGAAAAATGCAAGTGAGGACTTTGAGATAAGAAATGCAAAGATATACATATTTGGGTTGTCAGACATGTCATGAACTAAAATTCTTGACTTAAGAACTATATGCCCCTAATATATAACTCATTAGAATAATTAGAAAATAAAATTTTAAAAAATAACTATATGCCCCATTGTGCACGTTAAGTCTTCTGTTTTAGGGGAGAAGAGTCAGGGTAGAGTGAGTTATTACAAAGATTTTTCTGAATGGGGTTAAAAATTTCAAGAAAAAAAAGAGTGTTCACATATTAGTTATTGTCACTAGCCAATCTCCCAGAGTGACCCAATAGCTTAGTCATCCTCTCTAAATAACTATTGAAATAACTGACCAAAAATGTCACATAAAGCCATATCCATTGCTTACTGCAGGTCTTCTCCACTTTGGGTGGTATGAGCCATCAGGGAAATAGGTGGCTTTACAAAAGGGAAGTGCACTGTGCCCTGTGGTGAGCAGAACGACCCCCTCAAGTTATGCGTGTCCTAGTCCCAGGAGCTTAGGAAGACGGTACATTCCTTCTGATTCCGTGGCCCCTCAGGAAGCCACTGGACCCTCTCACAGCCTGGCCTACAGGAATCATCAAATATGGGGAAAAGGGAACTGTCCTGAGAATGTCAACCTCCTTTCTGTCCGTCCCTCTGCTGATGCGCTGAGGGAGTGAGTGGGGACCCCCATCTGGTCCACACTGCAGGTCGTGCGCTAAGAGGTTGCTAAAGTGGATCGCTGGGGCGGGAACTGTGTAGATAGTGAGAGACAGAAACGAGAGGAAGGGGAAGGCGGGTGGCCTGTGGAGGAGGGTGACAGAGAGCAGAGAGCATGTGGAGGAGAAATTAGCCTTGCCAATGACCAGCGGCCAGGCCCAAGGAGGGGGCGAGAGGACTGGATGGTTCACATCACCTGCCACAGGAGACAGTGGCCAGGTCTCCTGCAGGACACTGATGGCAGCGACCAACCCGAATAGTTCCATTATGGGCACAACAGGGGAGAGACCCAGCCACCAGGAGCGACCCAGAAGGAAAAAGCAGGCAAGGGCTGGGAACGTCAGCGAGACAGAATCACCAGCCTGTCCTCTCCCGGGGGGTGGTTTGTCCCTCCTGCGGGATTCGCGGCCTTTCTTTGCAATGACAGGTGAACTGTTCGGAGCCAGAATAGACGTGGGGGGAACCGATCATGAAGGCCCCTTGGCACGGTCGTGGTGAAGACGCAGCTGCTGAAGAAGGCAGTCGCCATGGGTGTAAGGGGGACAGACGAACGTGTGCCTGTTCCCTGAGCGAGCTCCTCCAATGGGACCTTCACAACTCGTGGAACTGTATCTTTCAAATTAGGCGAAGTTCACACAGAAATTCAGCCCTTGTAGCTGCAGAGCTCGTGGGTGTCAAGCACACCGCAGGTGTGGCCATCACCCACCTGTCCCCAGAGCTCTCCTCTGCACCCTGCGTCTCTCTGAATCTTGTCACTTTCCATGTTTCAAAGGCACATGATTTGAAGGTTGAGCCTCATTTGCTGGTGGCTCCTAGTGAATCATTCCTCCATGAAGGACAGTTCTCATGGGTGTGTGCAAATCTGTATTTCAAAACGCTCAGAAACTGGCAGCTGGAGGTGTGGCTCCACAGCTTTTCCTGTGATGGACCCGACGTGAAGGTGGTTGGCTGGGTTCTCGGGGGCCACGGCTCAGCCCCACGGCTACGGGACCAAAGCAGCCACAGGCGACGGGCATGGCCGTGAGCTTCATGTGGGCCCTGAAATTTAAGTTTACATGCCACTCACACCTTACTAAATATTTTTCTTGTGAAGTTGTTTCCTATGATGAGGTCTCAGCCTCCTACTGCACGGGAGGACCTCAGCTCACGATAAGCTGTCACGTGTTTTATGCACAACTGGAGGAGTGGAGCTTGAAGCTCCAACAGAGGGACAGCTAGGAGACGGAAACGCTAACGACCCGACTCGGTCAGCACATGTCACATACGTGTGTGGAAATATCACACTCAAGTATGTACCGTCTTACATATTAACCAACTTCATAACGTTTAAGGGGGTGGAACGCTGTTACTCTGATCTTATCGTCACACATTGCATACATGTGTATAAAAGGTATCCAACTCTACCTCAGGAGCACATGCTGTTAAAATGACAATTTAAAAAAATCATAAAGCCAGGCATGGTGGTATGCACCTGCCATCCAGCTACTCAGCTGGGTCAGGTGGGACACTGGAGCCCAGGGATGAGAGACCAGCCAGGGAAACACGGCAAGATCCCATCTCAGAAAATAAAATCACAAATGCAAG